ATCCCAAATAAATCATACCATACCTCTTTGCAGGTCTCTTCATGTGTGACTAAGAGCTCATTATACTTTGTTTGCAAATCTGATATCTCAGCCTGTAGCTTTTCATACTCAGAAACTGTTGGACCACCTAATTTTTGTTGAACAAACCTGTCCCGAGAGACATGAGCAAAAAAGGAGTTGGTGTCACCATTAGATCTCAACTATTTCTGAAATCCACATAGGTGAATCACTGCTATTCAATCACACAATAAAAGAACTGAGGAAAACTCACACTTGGCTCATTTTACCCACTAGAGCATTGACAAAAATAGTAAAACTACAAATAGCCTCAAGAGAACAATTATTATGAACAATAGGGAACAAGAATTTTCTATAGACACAAATGGAAATCAAAGCAAGGCTCAGATTCCTTTCCATCTGTATCTGGGTTGTGGCCGAACATTAGGCAATAAGGAAAAATCAAAATTATCAAACATGGTTTTTCATTCCTGATCCCTCAGATCCTACTAGGACAACAAATGTGGATTTCTGATCTAAAGTATCTAATTAGCAAATTGCTCTAAATCCAGTTCTCATTTCTTAAGAAGTTCGAACTAGTAAATAATCCCAAAAATTTTTCAAAGCAGTTGCTTTAGATTTTTAATATGTTCCATGCCACATGAAGAATTTCCCACTATAAAGCAATCAATCTTGTAAATTTCTAGTTTTCCAGGTACCCATTTCTCAAAGAAAAAGATACATACTAAGAAGAATTCTGTTATTGTAATACAAATTCCAAAATTGAGCTACATCTATAGATCTGCATATTCTGGACTTAGTAACTACAGACACATTCCTCAAAGATTATGATAAGTGAGCTTACTCAAGGGCTGAGGATGGCTTCTCATTCTGCTCATACAATGAAACCAAAACTAGAAAAACAAATTGAAAAACAAAAGAAGCAGATTAGGCCCACATAAAATCAGACATGAAGAAACTAAAATTTGATGAAAAGGAGAGAAATTTAAGAGGAAAGCAGAAACCTTTGGTGAGGGCATCAAGGACTCCACTGGACTCCAGATACTTCCTAAATGCTTCTTTCTT